ACCAGAACAATTATGGAATACTCATAAATTAGCATTATGTGAAGATATTTTATATAATGCACAGCAACTTACTCCTTTACAAACTATTATATTAAATGATACAATAGAAAATAAAGCATTAAACCAAATAGAACATTATTTTCAATCAAATGGAATGTTGCTAAAAAATTTTCCTCATATGCCAATTCTTTCAATACAAAATATTCATTCTAACTTTACTAATAATAATTTAGATCAATTAATTTATGAAGAAAGATCATATGATATCATTTATTTGACAGAATAAGTACGTCAAAATGTTTTTCTATTGAATAAAGAACAGCATTCAATATATAACAAAATTATCCAAGCAATTAATAATGAATGTAGTTGTTTCTTTATAGATGGTCTAGCTGGTAGTGGAAAAACTTTTCTTTACAATACCTTACTAGCTAATATTAGGTCACAAGGTGACATTGCAATAGCAGTAGCATCTTCTGGAATTGCTGTATTATTAATGAGTGGTAGTAGAACAGCACATTCTCAATTTAAAATTCCATTTAAAATAGATGAATTTTCAACATGTAAAATTTCTCGTAATGATAAATTAGCACGTCTAATTAATATAACAAAGCTTTTTATTTGAGATGAAGCTCCTATAATGCATAAGTTTGTATTTGAAGCAGTTGATCGAACATTTTGAGATATTACATAAGTAAACAAACTATTTGGAGGAAAGATATTTGTTTTTGGAGGAGATTTTTGACAAATCTTACCCATTATACTACATTCACTTCATGCTGATATTGTTTCAGCAAGTTTAATTCGATCATCTTTATGGATTCATATTAAAATGATGAAATTATCAACAAATATGAGACTTCAACAAACCTCTAATCTATTAGAAAATCTGAAACAAAGGCAATTTGCAGAATTCCTTTTAAAAGTTGGTGATAGAACATATATAATTAATCCTAATACAGAAAATATAATAACTCTTCCTTCAGATATAACAATACATAAAGGAACTCTAATAAACCTAATTGATTTTGTTTATTCAGATTTGATTGAAAATTCTGGAAATGCTAATTATATGGTTAGCAAAGCAATTTTAACTCCTAAAAATATCAATGTTGAAATTATTTCAGATATTATAATGAATAGAATACCTGGTGAAGTTATTTTATATTCCAGTGCTGATTTAGTAAATTTATCAGATGATAGTACAGTAGAACAACCCCAAACTTATTCACCTGAATTTTTAAGATCTTTAAAAATTCCTGAACTTCCTTTTGGTGAATTGAAGTTAAAGTTAGGAATACCAATCATTCTTTTACGAAACTTAAATCCATTAGAAGGTCTTTGTAATAGAACTAGACTGATTTGTCATGGATTTCAGAGTAGAGTTATTGATGCTGAGATTATAACAGGATCACATATTGGTAAACGTGTATTTATTCCACGTATTACATTAACTCCATCAGAAACTAAATTATCCTTCATTTTAAATCAGTGTCAATTTCCTATACATATTGCATTTTCAATGACAATCAATAAATCACAAGGACAAACTTTAAACAGGGTTGGTATTTATTTACCTCAACCTGTTTTTTCATATGATCAACTGTATCTTGCTCTATCAAGAGTGACTTCATATCAGCATCTTAAAATTCTTACAGATGATAGTAATAATTGGCAAACAAAAACATTGTATATCATGAAATATTTCATTCTATATAAAATAATGATAACATATTATTAAAAATCACAATTATTTACTATATATAATTGTATAAATTATATATATTTATTTTATTTATTATCTGTTCTATTACCATAATAAATATAAAAAATAATACATAAATTTAATCACAATTATTTTTACTTAAAGCCTGGCGCAACACGCTAGGTCACAGCTAGTTTATAATAAAAAATAACTTATGTATCTTAAGCTTAAATAATCTTGGATTTATGTTTTGAAAGTATATTTGATTAACTATAAAATGATAAATATTTGAATAAAGTTATCTTCTAATATATATAAATATATTAAGTTAAATAACAAATATTTAGAAATATTAGGTTATTATAGATTATATAAATTATAAATAACTTTATATTCTATTATAGAGTATTTATAATAATATAATTTATACATTTATAATATAAAAATATTAAATTATAAATTTAATAATTATTTATATTAATATTTAATTAACCTTTTATATATTTTTTAAGAATAATTGTTATATTTTTATAGAATTAAATAATATTATTATAATTAAAAGTTAAATTGTAATAGCAAAATCTTTAATAATAAGTAATAAAAATAGATTAAAAAAATATATATTAAAAATTTTAAATTAATCTATTAATGAATATTAATAATTTATAAAATATTAAATTTAGTATTAATATATTATTAATAAAAAATTGAATTATATATTTATTATATTAGTAATAGATTAATTATTAATATTTTGTTAATAAATATTATTTATAATTTTCTTAAAAATTATATAGATATATTCCTTTTACCTTTTTTTTTTTTGTTTTTTGGTGATTGAATTTATATACAAAAGAAATATGAATTATAATAATTAAAGCTTTTTTACAGTTTTCTTTTTAACAAAAAAGAATTAGAATGAAAGATCTTCATCTCTAATTAAAACATATCTTTCCTTTAAATAATTTTTAACATGTTTAATTGGAATTTCCCGACGATGAAATATTCCAGCAGCAAGAGCTGCTTCTACATTAGTTTTCTCAAAAACCTCAGCAAAATGGTCTTCTTTTCCAGCTCCACTTGACGCAATAACAGGAATTCTAACAGCCTTCTTAACATCATTTATCAACTCTAAATCATAACCAGAATTCGTACCGTCTTTATCCATACAATTAAGAAGAATTTCACCAGCACCCATAGCTTCACAAGAGGTAACAAGTTGATGAACATCAATATCTCTCCCTTCACGACCACCTTTCACAGTACATTGATACCAACACCAAGTTTCTCCGTTTGGACCAAGATAAGAAGTCTTAATTACATGATGGTTTGGTTCATCATCCGGAGAATTGACGTAAATTCTTTTAGGGTCTACCGATATTACTACAGCTTGAGAACCATAAGCATGAGCGATGGTTTCAATAGCAGTTCTACCAGATAATATTTTATTATTAGCTAAAAAGTCTTCTACTGCATAAACAGCATCACTACCAATTGAAACTTTATCGGCACCAGATCGGAAATATTCACCAGCAACTTCAAGAGCCGAATGAAATTTGCCATCAGGATCTTTAATATCTCTTATACCACCACCAATGGTTAAAGGAACAAAAACTGTTTCTGATGTAAGTTTTAAAATTTCCAGCATTGGTAAATCAACTAAAGGACAATTGCGAAAACTTGTAATATTTAAAAAGGTAATCTCATCAGCTCCTTCATCAAAATATCTACGGGCTAGATCAACAGGTTTACCAAGATTTCTAACTTGTCCATTAGCGTTATCTGTGGAACGTTCACGTACATCATATTGATCACCTTTGGTCACTACCAAATCACCATGATCATTTGCACGTACATCTAAACAAGCTATAATCCTTTTTCTAAATCTGTCTTTTGATAATCTTATAGGATTTTTCGTTACGATTTTTCTATCATCATCAATAATCAAATTACTATTATCACTACTTTCTAAGAATGATTTTAAAATTCTCAAACCAGCATAACCACTTTTTTCAGGATGAAATTGTGTACAAAAGACGTTATCTTTTTGAATTGAACTAATAAAAATTTCATCTCCATATTGGGTAGTAGATAATATCCATTCTTTAATCTTTTCATTATAAGGTACAGCATAAGAATGAACGAAATAATAAACACTTCCTGGTTTAATTCCACACTGATTATCTTGTTGATTTTTATATTTAATCTCTCTTAAGCAATTTGCTTCATTCCATCCCATATGTGGTACTACTTTATCATCTTTATTAAATAATTTAACTGTACCAGGAATAATTCCCAACCCTGGTATGTTCGGATTTTCTTCTGATCCTTCAAATAATGCTTGTAATCCAACACAAATTCCCATAAATTGTTTTCCCGCTGCAATAAATTGTTTTAATGGTTCTGCATAATTTTTCTCTACAAGTAACTGCATTGCATTACCAAATGCTCCTACTCCCGGAAATATAAGTTTCTAAAAGTATATTGAATAACATTTAATTTTTTTTTAAAAAAAAAAATCGATTAATTGATACTTACTTCAGCTTTTAAAATATCACCAGGTTCTTTAATCAATTTAATCTCATAACCTAATTTATTAACAGCATTTACTAAACTACGAACGTTTCCTGCTCCATAATCCAATAAATATAATCCTTCCATAATCGTATTTTCTTATTTTTTAAAAAAAAAAAAATTTTGCGTTGTTTTTTTTTTATCGTAAATCAATTTGTCATCAGGAAACTTCTTAATTTGTATAGATCTTCGATTTCTTGAGGCACAGCCATAAATTAGATCTTTTATTTGGAATAAATTAGTGATAAATTGAACTACAAATTTTTTTCATCTTATTAAAATCGCATAGTAATTTACCCATATATACAAAAGTTTGTGACAAAAAAAAAAGAAAACTTTGATTTATTATTTATTTATTTATAGCTCTTTTTTGGCAGCATTTTTTAATCTTCGTGTTGCTGAAGGTGATGATGATGACGATATCCATTTCTTCTTTAAAGTTGGAATTCCAAACTGCCATATAGCATATCCAACCAATGAAGTAATCAGTACTATCCAAAATATTACTACATTTGTTGGCGCAGGGTTCGGAAATTCTCCAATACCAAATTTATAACAAATTACAGATTCTGTCATAAGATTTGCAATAGTTAACCATGCTTGAGGTCCAAATCTTTTGCAATTTCTATAAAAAAGCATTATTAAATATGTTTATTTTTTTTTGTTTTTAAAATAAAAAAGGATAGGTTGATTCTTTTAATTACTTGTCTGTCAAATATTGATATGCTTCACGTGTACCAGGAATTGAACACATGAAAAGCAACAAAGCTCGATAACTATTGAGTGGGTGTTCCGGTGGAATCCATAAAAGATATTTCAAATAAAATGAATTTAATTCAGCTTGCAAAAACTAAAAAGAAAGGTTAAAATTAATTTAATATAAAGAAATTAAATGCAAGCAGGAAACATTTTATAAGTTACCAAGAATAAAAGTCCAATAACAGCTAAATAATTTTTAAAATTTTTAGTAGTTCCCCATTCGAATTTAGTCCAATGGTGTGGTGTGAATTGTTGTACTATCCTCTTCACTTTTCCTTTCGATGACCTGATTTGTTTAAAACCTCTCCAAGAATACCCTTTCATCTCAAAATATTCACACGTCTTCATTCCAAAATAAAGTCCAATCCAATTACAGATTAACACATCAAGGATCCACTACAACAACAATTTTTTTTTTTAAAAAAAAAAAAGTGGAAAATTATTTTTAAAAATAAAATTTCATTTTTAATAAACTTACGTGATCCCACCAACATTCAGCAAAATTATTTAATTGATGTTGTAATGAATATTCCATAATCTCAAACATGACAGATAATATCCAGCAGAACCAATAATCACGTAACACTACAGCTTTGGCATACCATCCCGTTGCATGATAAACCACAAAGATATCAATTTGATTCTATTTATATGTAAATAGTAATTTTTTTTTAACAATTTGAAATATATGTATATATTGCTGAAGAAATTATCATTACTTTAACATTCTCGTAAGTCAATTCACAATTCTCAGAATATGAACGTTCCGGGAGAGGTCTTCCTAATGTTGGATCAATTGCCCTAAGAAATAAACGTGCATCGAATTTATTCTAAGATCATCAAATAAAAAACTTTAATAAACTATTATCATTATTTAAGAGTATTTAAAGAAATTTGACAAATTGATCTACCTGAAATAAAAGAAATACAAGAAACATCTGGTATAACACTCCAAGACCCAAAACAATTCGCCAAAAAGCAGGATGTGGTCGAATGAAAGGTCCATCTCTAAACTGTAACATCGCAAATAAAAGGAAAAAACCTACTCCAGCCATGCTTCCGCTGTAAAAAAGAGCAATTATAAAGTGAGAATTACTTGATTAAGTAATAATATAATAATTTAACTTAATTGACTTGAAATCGAACTTACAATTTAATATTCGTTGCTGTATTGGAAGCTTTATCGTCTTCCTCTCGATATATTGCAACGTATACAAGTCCAATAATCATTGCCGATAATACCGTCAATGTTCTTGGACGATCTACAAGGGTGAACATTTAGAGTAATGATAGGCTACATTTTAAGATCGAGTAACAAAACGCGAATACAATCTACAATCGCATCAATCTATGCAAAGTACGGAATAAACATCAATAACGAAAGCATACAAAAGAATTCTGTAGGTGGGTCATTGTCTATATATGCAACAGGTTGAACTTGTAATGATCGTGCATCAAAAGGATCTATAATTGCTTTGTTAGGAGGATCGGGAGAAGAAGAGCTTGCTGTATACATTTTTGCATTGATCGAAATCTGGAAGTTAAAAAGCAGTCTGGTGAAACAATAATTCTTAAAAATTTTGAATTTCCATTTTTAACAATTGAGGTCAGTGCGACCAATAAAAACATCGTAATTTATCTCGAATAAATTAGCCAATTACAGGTAATTCTAATCGAGTGTGAATTAAATAAAACCGAAGTACCAAATTGAAATTTATTTTCTACAATAAATGAAACCGAAACCCAATATTTAGATAACAGAAATGTATACGGTTACTAATGTTAATCATTGGCTAGTGTCTTTGCCATCACTCTTCACAACACAGCCTTTAGCAATAATAATTCCTGCTGTTGTTACTGTATTTTGTATATTTTTAACTTCTTTCTTTCTAAGAAACTCTAGATATCATAATTCCTCAACAACTAATAGAGAATGTGAGTTGTTTCTTTTTAAATATTTTAATTTAAAAATGCAAATTAAATATTATGTCAAAAAAAAATGAAATTTAGTTGAATCTCTCATAATTCAAAAAGACACGCAATACATCGTTGTCCGAAATAAACGACTTCGAATTGTGCATATTATTCATGAGCTTGGGTCAAAAGTTCCTTTGGTTGTATTTATTCATGGACTTGGTGGACAGGTTAGAAAATAATTTTATCATGATTTAGTTTTATTTTTTTTTTATTTTTTTTTTTAAAAAACAAAAATTGTTATAATGTTTGTTAAAGGTAACGCAATGGGAAAATCAAATCGAATATTTTTCTTCAACTGCTAATATTCTAGCTGTGGATTTATTAGGTTGCGGAAAGAGTGAAGTGTCAAACAGGTAAATTCTCATCCTATGTAGTATTATATTATATATTGTGTAATAAAATTTATAAAATATAAGTCTAATTATCAATGTATCATTAAAAGATCGAGAGATTATACAACTGAATCCTTGATAGATGATCTTGAAGAACTATTGAAACGGTACCCAAGTGAAAATACAGTATTGATTTGTCATTCATATGGATGTTGCCTTGGTACAAAATTATATCAACGCATTAAACATGCCATTAAAGCCCTTACATTTATTTCGGTAAAAGCTAGTATATCCGAAAGTGAAAAAAAGAAACAACAAAAAGTTCTTTCGTATCCTAACTTTCTAATAGACATGTTCCGATATTTGGATCGTATTGGCGGCATTCATTCTGAAAGTGTAAATCGAATTTTATATAAAAATGCAAATGAAGAGGTGAGGACCAAACAATTAAGATGGAATAAGCAATCAAAAACGATTGTATGGAAACAAATGTTGGCTGGAATTAATTGGTTTACCCAAGCTGATATAAGTTTAATTGAATGTCCGATGTTACTTATTACCGGAATAGAGGTAGGTGAAAAATTGGGACGGAGTTTTTATCTTTTCTTTATATAGAGGAATTTATTATAATCTTCTCTACAAACATTAAGGATAAAATTAGTTTGCCAGGTGATATGAATATTATTCAAGGATGGTGCAAGTCATCATCTGAAATTTTCTATATACCAGAATCAGGTCACAATGCAATGGTAGAAAAACCTGGTATGGTTAACCTTATAATTTATGATTTTCTTATTAAGACATATGGTTTGGAGACTTTGGATCCTGCATGGCAAATTCTTTTCAAGACTAAAGGAGAAAATAAGTGGTCTATGAAGAACTTTCAAAAGGTTCGCTATTATTGGATAGATGTCTAAACAATTAAATCTCGTATACGTAGATTTTTTAGATTACGCGCAAGTTTATTCTTCCATATAAAGGAATCTTTTGGTTTGACGCGTGATTTTTTTTCAGTGTTGAATTTATTTCTTTTAGACATTTCTGTTTAAACTATACCAAGACAAATATGTGATTTATCGAACTCTCGTGTGGCACTTTAAAATATTAGTGGAAACGGACTCCGATAATATCAGAACGAACCGTCAATAACACGAGATTCAGAGCGATGAAGGTTTGTCATCAAATTATATTAATTATGGCTGTTGCTTGTGACGACATATTTACAGATGATTGATTATAATTTCAAAAAGGTTATGCGACAAAACGATGAAGAACATTGTCCAAAGTCATTTATTGCACGACATCCGGAAATAGGATTGTAATATAATTTTTATTTCATTCAATTTTATATGATTAATTTGTTACTTTAATTTATGTATGTTTTTGTCCGTTATATTTTATTAGTATTATTGATATAACAAAGGATATCCCTCCTTATCGAACAAGCGACTTTGATAATTCCCATATTACATATATCAAACTAAGAACTGTTAGTAAGATACCACCATCACTTGACGTCATTCAAAAATTTATCAAGGTTGCGAAAGAAGCATGGAGCAAAAAGCCGGATAAACAAATTGCAGTGCATTGTCATTATGGGTATTTTACTTTTATTCTATAAAACATTATTTTTTTTTAATTATTATTGAGATAATCTTTTCTTAGGTTTAATCGAACGGGATTTATGATTTGTTGTTACTTAATTGAAGAGTTACATTATTCTGTAACTGACGCACTTCGATATTTCGAAGAAGCAAGGCCAGCAGGAGTCAGGTATGCTTTTATGTTTTTCTTATGTATCTATGAAGAATATTAACTAGAATTATCTCGTTAAGGCACCGACATTTCAAAGATGAGCTTTATTTACGATATGAAGTTCGAAAAATTAATAAATCATATCATTCTGAATATTCCTCAAACTCCGATTAACCTTTAGCTAGATTATTTATTCATTATTAAATATATATATTTTTTTCTCTTAGAATTCATTTGAACCATTGAATCTTTCAATTTTCAATCTTACATAACATTCTAATTTTTTAGATAATGTTAATATTTCATCATTATTTTTATGACTTTATTCATTATCCTTAATTTACAATTTACATAACAATTATTATTATTATTAGTTTTTTTTTTTGATTATATCTTTATTTTTAATTTCATTTATATTTAATAACGTATTATATATTATTGTGAATTTCATTGTTCGTTCATCAATATATTGATTGAACAACCAATAAACTAATATTTGAATAAAAAAATTCCTTTAGATATGATTTATATGATTTGATTCCAAAGAATTCAAAGGATTTCTTGTCCTGTGTTCGGTAGCATTGCCACCATCAGCGGGACCATCTTCACCCTGCATCATAGCAGTAACTTCCATAACTCTAGACTGTCTAACTTGAGCACCAGATCCATTTGTTCCACTTCCATTGATAGGTGCAGCAGTAGAACTCCCAACAATTCCACTCCCACCACCACCATTATTATTGTTACTATTAGAAGTAACATTAGTATTACTAGATGATGATACAGCGGCAGAACCGGAAGGATTAATGTTACTATCATGATTACTTGAACTATCGTTTTCTTCTTGAGGTAATAATTCTTCGGGTGATACTTCTTTTGTTTCCAACACTTTGGTATTGTAACCTTGACAATGTGGACATTTGTGATATAAAAAGTGATATTTGACGGTACTACGTTTTTCGCAGTCATTACATAATATATGTGCCACAAAGTGTTCATATTCTGGTGGCATTTTTTGTTGAGCAACGATCGAATCAATTTTGCGGAAATAAAGATCCATATTTCCGATAGATTTCCAACATGTTGGACATTGGTATGCTGTAATAATATATTCCTGATAACAATTGTTATGCATGCTATGCCCACAAGGCTTTAAACAAAAAAAATTTTTTTTGAATTAATATTAAGTTTCAGAGAAAAGAAAAATATTTAGCTACTATCATACGACATACCATAAAAATGGCTTCAGATCTCGAGGTAAATAAATATTCATTACAAATGACACAATCTCGCTCCAAATTTTTCTCTATACATTTATGAGAATCTTTTGAACCAATACGTATACAGCAATCACAAACGTTACAATGAAAATAATCTTTTCTTTCACCGATGCGACAAATTCCGCAAGAATCACAATGATAAATTTTTTTATCTGGTTGATCATCCAAAAATTTACATTTATCACAGTAATATCTTGATAATTCACGCTTACAATTGTTGCAAGATTTATTGACTGGCTGAATTTCTTGACAATGCATGCACATCATATTTTTAGTAGCATGCCTACGAAAAAAATTATCAAGCGACTTAAAAATCAAAACAACAAAATAAAATTAAATTAAAGATTCTTGATAACTTAAAACAAACCTATCAATCTCATGATCACAAGCATCATCATGGCAAAGTCTACAAGTGAACCATTGACCACAACAATTCGCCTGCAATTTTGCTCCTCGACGATAATGCTTACATCCCAATGTTCGAAACTTTTCATTCTATAATTTCAAATGATGATAGTTAATAACATCCTTAAATTAAAGCTGAGCCCTGTAAATTTTTTTTGTTAAATTGAAGTCTCACGTAAGTAGGTTTGAGATCTTCCTCAGTTGATTCATCATTAGTGGACATAGAATTTGTGGCTGGTTTCTTTTCAAACTGTCTCCATTTAGAAGTCATCAAATTCTTATTGATTGAAGCAATTTGTAATTATTTAGTAATTCCTATAGTAAATTGAAATGATTTCCTTATCATATACCTGTATCTTATGAGCTTTCTCTTCTGGTTTGATGGACAAGTCATTTTGAATGTTAAAGATCATTTTCCTCAGATCATCTTGAAATTGCAAATCAACTTTAGGTGGTTGATTTGATTGTTGCCCATTTCCCGCAATTAACTCGTCATCTTGTTCATTTTCATTTTCTTCTTCATTGTCGATATCAATCCAACCTTCATTATCGTACGTGAACATTTTTAACGAAAAACTGATAAAAAATGCAATTAACAAATCCCCGTGTTTAAAATTTTATAATAATATTCACGTGATGGTTCAATTGCCTAATATGTATAGCCTAAATTTAACGAATTTTTTTTTATAAACTTCTTATATTGTATTTTTGTTTAAAATCATTAAAAAAATGTATCAGTTTTTTTCGATAAAGTTATATTATCAATTTAAGAAATGACCGACAAGATGATCGCCGATAGCAAGAAATTTTCGGGGTAGCAGTCATAGAATATGGGGTAAGTGCTGGAAAAAGGGAAAAAAAACTGAGATCAAATGATAAAAATTGTATCTATTTAATTGTTACACAACATATTATTTATTATAATTCTAATTTTCTTTAACCTAATTTTTAGTGATAATAAAAATTATTATTTAATCTTTTATTTCAAATTATATTTAAGAAAAATAATTTGTTTCTTTAATAATAAATTAAAAAAATTAAAAAAAATTTTTTTATTTAAAAGTTAAAATATGTAAAGTAATTAAATAATTTTTATATTATTATTTAATTATAATCAATTTATAATTTTTTATTATAATGCATTTAGATTATTAAAAAAAATATCATATAAATTGCAAATTTAAATATAATAAATTTGCAAATCAGATGACTGCTAATACAATTATGAAAAACGTTTATAACTTTACAATCATTAATCAATCATAATAAAATTTTATATATGTACATATTTTTGAATTCAAAAGTCACTATATAGATAAAAATAAAAATAAAAAATAATTTGTAAAATGATACAATTATGAAAAACATGTATACCGTTTAGCACTGCTTAAGATATCCCTCTTTTTGAATACCCCACTTTAAAAGACCCGGGTATTTTATTACATATAAAATTTATTACCTATTTTAAGATCTGAGTATGATTCAATTTTAATCACAGGTGTTTTATAAGAGATCCAGGTATTTTATACTGAAATAATAACAAATTTATAAAATGAAAAAAAACTTTATTTATTATTATTGAATAAATGCTATGAAATTAGTAATTTTTCTAAATATTCCAATTATGAATTACATTACAATCTTCATTATTTTTATAATAATCATTTTCATATTCATCATTATTTTTCAATTCATTCTCATTACCATTATTACCTGATTCATTTTCACTATCATTCTGCTTATCCGCTTTTTCAATTCCTCTCCCTTGATTATTTATATTTTCTACTTTATTAAAATCAAAAATTAAATCATCTTCTGTTCCATCAATTGTATTGGAAGTACTACAACATTTAAATGAACGATTGATCATATTAAAATTAATAGCATCTCAGCTTTCCTTTATCCAATTAGTAACAAATGAATAAGATGGTCTTTTAATTTTTCCAGATAGTGTATATTCTTTAATAGCATTATTTATCCAATCATTATAATGTTTTCGCATCTATTTTTTTTTAAAAACATTAATATTAATTATTTAAATAATAAATAAAATAAAATAAAATAAAATATCTTAGCTTTAAAGAATTTATTTAATAATACATCAAGTGGATGTAAACGAGAAGTTAACCCACCCGGAATAATAGCTAAATCAGTATTTTTTCATAAAATCGATATTTTATAATATCAGTTCTATGTGTAGTAAAAGAATCAAATACTAAAAGAGATTTTGGATTACTATCTCGTCTTGCACGTCGTGTCCAAATATTTTTCACCCACTAAGATATTTCATTTTCATTCATTCAACCTTGAGAATTAGCACAAACAATTACACCATCAGGAAACTCTTGTCGAGAAACATTTACAAGTTTAAAAATAATTACAGGTGGTAATTTGCTTCTATCAGTTATATGACTTAAAACAACAGTAAAATTTGAACACTCATGTCCAGTTAGTGTTTCGCAAAAAATCTGATTCAATCTGAATCTAATCCAGATCTGACAGATCAGATCAAATCAGATTTATCAGATTCGAATCAGATTCAGATCCAGATTTTGATTTGATTTGATCCATCAGATCTGGATCAGATTTGGATTTGGATATGATTCAATCTGATGGATTCAGATTTGAATTCAGATTCGATCCGTTGGATTCAGACTTGAATTCAGATCTGATTTGTTGGATTTAAAATAAAAAATGCCGCCCTGAAGTCAGACGTGACATTTATAATTAAAAAATATAATTTTTAATAATAAAATGCCACCCGAAAGTTGAATGCGGCATTTATTATTAAAAAAATATAATTTTTAATAATAAAATGCTGCCCGAAAGTCAGACACAGCATTTATTATTAAAAAATTAATAAAATTAATTTTTAATAACAA